CCATTCGCGGAATATCTCGGTCGTCTGCCGAACCCGACTTTGCTGCTTCTGGGTTGTATGGCGGATACTTCTCCACCTATCCAGTGTGGTCCTCTAATGTGGACGAAGAATAGAGTTCCGGGAGATTGCTTGTGTAAGAGAGCAACACCGTCGTAGAGAAGTATGAACTCACACGCATCGTGCTGAAGAGAAATCTATATAAAGGCTCTGCGCTGGCAGGAGTGATTTGATACTCAGCCAGCAGTCTCCTCCCAAACAGTCCATTCTTGACTATCCGACTCAATTATCAATTGCATCAGACATACTACTCCAGAACAGCCATGATGAACAACAAGCTGGTCCTCGCCCTGGCAGCCCTCCTGTCCAGACAGGCCCTGGCAGTGCCCACCGCAACCGTTGAGAAGCGCGCCTCCGCCGATGACGTTTGTCTCCCTCCCATACCGCCCTCCTAAACACACATAATAAGAAAGATCCATACTAAACCCAAATAGAAAGCATTCGGCTTCGCCTCCCTCAACGGCGGCACCACCGGCGGTGCAGGCGGCACTACAACCACCGTCTCCGACTACGCGGCCTTCACAGAAGCCGTGACCAACGACGAGCCCAAGGTAGTCGTCGTGTCCGGCGCAATCAAGGAGACCGCCGACCAGGTCAAAGTAGGCAGCAACACCAGCATCCTCGGCCAGGACGACAGCGCCGTGCTGGATGGATTCGGCCTGCTCGTCAAGGAGAAGGAGAATGTTATCATTCGAAACTTGGGCGTGCGAAATGTGCTGGCTGATAATGGGGATGCGATTGGTGTTCGTATGTTTTTCTCTTCCTTCTTTGTTTCCTGGTTTTGGTTTTGGCTTGCGATGATTATCGAGATGCAATCTTTCTAACAAGAAGCAGAGGTCGCAACCAACGTGTGGATCGACCACTGCGATCTGTCCTCCAACAGAGACCACGACAAAGACTACTACGATGGTCTGATCGACGTAAGACCCTATCCTCCGCATCTCCCCTTACAAACAGGACATAACCATAACTAACCCAATCCCCAGTTCACCCACGCGGCCGACTACGTCACAGTCAGCAACAGCTACATCCACGACCACTGGAAAGCGTCTCTGGTGGGGCACAGCAACAGCAACGAGGAAGAAGACACGGGCCACCTGCGCATCACGTACGCCAACAACCACTGGGCGAACATCAACTCGCGGGCTCCGTCCTTCCGCTTCGGCACGGGCCACGTCTACAATAGCTACTTCGAGGCCGTCAACGACGGCATCAACACGCGGCTGGGCGCGCAGCTGCTCGTCGAGAGCAACGTCTTCGTCGACGCGAAGAAGCCGCTCTATGCGACTGATGAGGGTTTTGCTGTTGAGCGGGATAATGATTTCGGGGGTGCCGAGAATGCCGCGCCGGAGGGGACGCTTACGGAGGTGCCGTATGAGTATACGCTGCTTGGGTCGGCGAAGGTTAAGGAGGCGGTTGTGGGTGTTGCGGGACAGACGTTGAACTTTGGGGCTTGATTGGTGGGTTTATGGGGATTTTGTGTGTATATAGTGTTTAAGGAGATTGAATTGGTTTGAGGTGGCTTGAAGTAGCAATGCAATCATGGTATAGCAGTCTAATATACACGCGTAAAGATACATGTCGTTCCACATGGGAAAGAGATAAAAAAGGAGTATATGAGTGTGTTGGGGCAGGGAGGGCACAATGACCACATGAGAAAGAAACCGACAACAATATCCCAGCAAGGAAAAGTTAAAATTATAAGTGTTTAAATACCCAACCTCTTCAACTCCTTCTCCACAGTATACAGCCTCTCTCCAGAAGGCGAGTACACCTCGTCACCAGAAGAGGACACGCTCGTCCCCTCTCCATCGGGGATTTTGATCTGCGAAGCGTCGTACTCCCACGCCGCCTGGCGCTCGTCCCGCGAGTGCCGCAGATGGAACGGCAGCGTCCACTCCTTCAATCGACCTTCCAGCATGCCCATATCGCGGTTCTTGTCCCACATGCGTCGGGATGCCTTAAAAGCGCTCTGTACAGTGTCGCGTCGTAATGACTCGTATGCCCGGAACGCTGCGCGTGGATGCTCGTTTCGGTGGCGGGCGAGTGTGCGGGAGAAGAGGATGGCGTCGTCGAGGGCGTAGGCGGCGGATTCGTCGCGTGGAGGCATCTACATTTGTTAGTTTGCTTCGCGGAACCTGATAGACCTGGGAGAATGGGTGGAGGAAATGTAAGACATACGGCATGTGCGGCGTCCCCGAGCAATATAGCCCGGTCGGTGTGCCACTTCCCCCCTGGTGGTACTTGATATACTGGGTACAGAATCCAGTCGGCGTGGGTGGAGGCCAACTCGCGGATGCAGGGTAGAGCAGACTTGCCGAAGCGGATGCGCATCTCCTCGGCTAGAGCGCGCTTGATGGCGGAGCGAGTGCGCCAATCCTGTCCGTTGTCGAGACGGTAGTCGGAGAGCAGCTGCTCTTCGAACTGCACGATCGCAGCCAGGAAGATCTGTTCGTGGTCGCGGTCGCAGTAACTGGTGAGAAGGGAGCCGTGGCGCGAGATGTTCATGGCTGTAGCGTTGAAATGGACCTTCGACTGCAGCGCGTCGGTGTCGACGATGCTCTGGAGGAAGGAGATGCCCGTGTATTGTGAATGACAATCGGGCGCCACCCAGCGGGTGCGTGTCGCTGAGTGTACACCGTCGCAGCCCAGCACGAGGTCGCCCTGCGCGGTCGTGCCGTCTTCGAAATGCAGCTTGCCGCCGTCTTCTAGATCTTCGCCGCGAACCAACTTCTTGCCGAACTCGATGCTGATGTTCTTGGTGCGTTCGACCACCGAGAGCATGGCTAGTGACAGCACAATGCGCATCACGCGTCGGCCTTTGTAGCCGCCGACGGCGTTCCCGCGCCGGTCTGTAAAGTCGATCGAGCCCAGTGATCGACCGGACCGGCACGAGAACAGCTCAATGCATTCGACATCGGCGCCGCCTGCGGAGCCGTGACGGTCAAGCTCTGCTAGGACGCCAAGCCGGTCGAGGTGTCGCTGGGCCACTGGGGTCAGGTTGATGGCGCCACCCGAGGTGGAGAGCACATCGTTACGCTCGTAGATGGTGATTTGGAGATCTGGAACGTAGGGGCCCAGCTCCTGGGAGATGGACAACGCCGAGGCGATGCCGGCGATTCCTGCACCGACGATCAAGATCCTACGCGGTGCGTCGCCTTTGGGGGTAGAGGAGCCCGTTGTGGACGGTGTCCTCGTGGATGGTGTCCTCGGCTCGGCCGGAAGCCACACCCACGTCTTGCCCACCAATTGCGGGATTAAGTGATTATCATCCTCCATGGCTGTGCTTCATCGGAAATAGCGGGATATCCTTCTCCCTATAAGAGATGCATGGACTGGAAGAAGGGAGGGGAGGTAAGGGAAGATCGAGAGCACTCGGTCGTGGAGAGACACCTGCAGAGATAGGGTTTTCGCGATCGTTCCGGATCCATCAACCGCCTCCCCGCCGGACTTTGTAGGGTGCAGACCCGTGTCAACATGCATATCGATTACGAGACCCATCCAATGGGCCCGACTGCGACGACTTTGGTAGTCTCAGAGAAATTTTTCCACGGCACTCGCTCCCAATCCAGCACAATGTGATTAACAAGCTCCACTGTGACTGGGCCTGTAATAGGCGTGGTGTCAGATTAAGACAGTGTGGTGGGTCCGTCTGGCGACCGTTGAGACTTCCGGGTCGGCATTGCGAACCATGGATGCGCCACTGCATAACTGGCAGACTTCCCTGGCCATGGCGACGACTGCCGAGGCTGAAAGATTCTGGAAGAATTACCCAGGAACATCCTGCCGCCAACCAGATGCAATGGGAGATAGAAATCGTCCCAACCGATGCAACTGCAGACTGACTTGGTAGTATTCTCTAGACCAGCTTGGGTTAACTAATCAGAGCCGGACTTGACTAGGTTCACCATGGTGGCCAACTAAATCAACTAGCAGGTTGCATCTGCTACCCTGTCCAGCAGTTGTTGAGATCTCCCCATCGCCTCAATCACACGCTGCCCTCGGTCAAGCTCTTCGCTCACTGTAAGTCTCAGGGTCGAGATCCACTCTCCATGAGAAGTCATCTCCGCGAGGGCAATCACCTGCAGCTCGGTCTAGGCTCGTAACAAAATACCGAAGGCAGATGCATCTCAAAAGGAGACACGATGATCATTGCTGCATGATTCGGCACTGGAGCCACCATGTTTCAGATTGAAGGCGCTATGCCATGTGTGTTAGGGGATTGATCTCCCCCCTTCGGAAGACTCATCAACCACGGTTGAACGCCGCCAATTTGGCAAGGTGACCGATCTGTTGGAATCTGCAGCCTAATACGAGGTCGTGCAGTATCCCCGACTTGACGGATCATATACGGCGACGAATACGCCTCCCCTCGGCGCTGTTTGATTCGTGATGTTTGCTCCGAACAAACAAACCATCATCGGCTAGACGATCTGCTCTCTTGAAGAGATCGTGACATGTCCATTGACCATTTTCAGCGAGTCGGCCTGGACCGGGTTAGGTGCGGAGTCCGCTCCGATTGAGAGTTTGCGAATGAAAGCAGGCAAGCAGGGACCATTAGATTGAGCTCCGTCGCCGCCGGCGTTAGAGGATCGCCGATCGCTGTTAACTGCTGCAACTTCTCTGCCAGTCGGTGGGAAGACCATGCGGGGTGGGTTAATTTGGATGTGAGGGCAAGACTGCGTGTTCCATTCTCCGCCTGTCGGATGCGAGCCGGGAAGATTATGTAGAAGAAAAATTACAAAACAATTTACAGAGTAAAAGGCAGGAGAGACATTAGGTGCTAGTCTGAGATGGGATGGTCACCTTGGCACCAAGCACCATGACGTCTGCGTAGTCTTACGCGATCAGCGAGTTATTTGGATCGTCATATAGGGGGAGAAAGAAAAAGGAGGGAAGGAAGGAGGAGATTGATCTTCTTCAACGAACGAAAAAAAGAATCGTGGTCCCAGTGAGGCTCGAACTCACGACTTTAGAGTTATTAGCTCTACACTCTAACCAACTGAGTTATAGGACCATTTGTTGAGGTGCGAGGAAAACTTTGCATACAACAGCCTGTGCCAAATTCTTGACCATATGAACTCTGTCACTGATGTATATTTCGTCAGACGGTATTTAGATATTGTAGGTGTATAGCTGGATGGGAGCATTCAACTCTAGTTTGCTATTTGATGACCAAATGTCAACACCACTACTCTACGCTCTGTCCGCCTACACGCTCGAAATGCACCTTATTGTCCAGATTGAAAAATGTTACGATGCCGGTCACAGCGCACAGTCCCGCTGCGACAGTTAGCAGATGCAGTGCTGTCGGGGAGACGGTCAACTAACCCATCACACAGTTCATTTCATAGTATCCAATTCGCTCCACCAGAAAACCCGATAGGATGGGCCCCACGAAAGAGCCGGCCGTCCAGCTCATACTGGCCAACGACAAGGCTCTCGAGTACCCCCCGTTGGGGCCGAAAATGCCGGGATGCTTGGCTTCAATCTCGTCGACGGTCACTACAGAGGGATGAGTCGCGTCCAAATTAGAGAATGAATGACATAGGGGGTATATACCAGTCGCCTCGATCGTCCCTGCTCCGTTGAGTAGACATGTCAAAGCGCCCACCATGGTCACGCAGACCGTGTAGATGACTTGTCCCGTCTGTCCACCATTTGCCCAGGGAAATCGGTCGTCGCCCGGTGTCCCCAGAAGCCACATGACCGGGATCAATGCCAAAAAGCCGACCGTGGTCGGCCATCGTGTGCCGACGCGGTCCTTCAGCCAGCCGCACAGCGGGCTGAGGATGATCCCCGGGCCTTGTAGCGCAAAGAACATCATCCCCGACAACATGCTTCCCCAGCCAAAGACATCGCGTACATGCAATGGAAGCGTGGTGTCGAAGCTGGATATTAGCGCCGCAAAAGTCAAATAGCTGATAACGCCAGCTACGAAACGGCGATGCCCGAGAATATATGTGTAGAACTCCCACCCAGTTTTCTCCCCCGTTGGTCGGTTTTCTCCCAAAAGAGGGTCAGTCTCGGGGTTTGAGCCGTCGTTACCGGCACCGGTTGACCCTACCACATCGTCAGCCCTACTGTCAGCAAACTTGTAAAGGGACAGCACACACCTGCAGTCTGTTTCGGACGTTCCAACATAAGCATTCGCAGCACGATGTCCACCAGGATGATCGCGAAAGCACTCGACCAGGCCAACCAGTAGCCTCCCACCTCGAAGAGGATCCCCGCTACCATGGGACCGGCCGAAGTGCCAGCCGCCACAACTAACGAGATTACCCCATATGTTTTTCCCAAATGCTCTGGCTGCACGTTATCTGCGATGGTGGCATATCCGACGACCCAGATAAACGCGCTGGCAATGGCCTGGATGAGACGACCGGCGAAAAGAGTGAATTCTGAATACGTCAGGAACTATTGTCTCCAGACAAAGATTGAAGAATCATACGCGATGTAGCTAAGGCCAGGACTACCGTTCCAAAAAGTGCCACGGCCAGTGAGGCTAGGAGCAAACCCTTCTTAGACCGCAAACCGTCCGCATAGTGGCCGATAAACGGACTGCACACTAACGACGCGATGGCGCTCTCGGCGAGGAGCGCAAAACTTAAGCGCTGGGTCAGGGACACATCCAACCCCAGGCGGTTCTCAAGGACATAGGGCAAGATCGGAACGAGAAATGCATAGAGAAAGACGTCTGAAACCCACGGGATAGACTGTCAGATATGTCAAATGACGGTATGCCAGGCGTTAACTCACCGGTAAACAGGGCCATGGCCATGGCGGCCACGATGAAGACGGGAGAAGACCGCCATTGGTAGCCCCATATAGGCTCATGAGCTGTGTTGAAGGTCATGACAGGGCACTGGATACAGGGGGAAAGACTGGCACGAGATTGACGCTCAGGAGTGTCGGCAGAAAAAAAGTCATGGTGATAAACCGGGGGAGCCTCGGGGTGATCTCCGGCGGGGGTGCGATTTAGCCACTTGCCCCACTTGGTGAGTCGATCCCTTCAGCTCGAGCACAGGTATAGCAACATGCCGAGATGGTCTGTTGGTGATGTTCTCTTATTGGATGGGTAGCCGTAGACAGGGACCTGAAATACGAATCATGGTCAATCGCAGATTCATTTACTGTCCCATTGAGTTAGGGAGGAAGTAAGGAGCTGAAGATGTTTGCCATGGTCGGAGTGACCCTGTCCTGGTCGGGCACGTGATTCTCTAGAATATATGATCATAATAGGAATAATATCCAACATCTGACGATTAAGTCATATTGGGTCTCAGTTCCAATGCAAATTACAGTCATCACTAGGTGGTGGCTGTGATAAATCAAGGATATACTGCAATGGATGTCGCACAGCTCATGTACACTGACTTCATTGTGTGATGGATGGCTAATAAATCTTTATGAATCAATTATCTCTATCAAGATATATACGCATGCTTTATTTTATCTAGTTGGTTTACCTAAAGTATTATGTAGAGAAATAAGCCATATTTGGATGTTTTTTATAGGATCTATATGACTAAATATATATTTGTAGATACAGTGAGTAGAGCCCTTACTTTGATATATATATCAACCAAGTGAAACCATAGTATCTACTATAACTTGGATGATTATAAAAAGCCTTCCACTTGTTTCCTTACTCAATGAATATATATTTTCTTTTCTTCAGCACAGCTCTGTTTATTGCCACAGCACACCGTCTTCCTGCTTCCTGACGCGGACTTGAAACAATCTCATGGGATTCACTGCAGGTCTTCTGCCATAGGTTCATTGAATGAAACAGAAAGCGGGAATGCCATCATGAGGTTACATGGTAGCAAAACATAGCCAATATTACGGAGAGGTCTTGACACTATAACACCGTCCTCTCAACATTGCAAGTTTCTCGTCTGTCGCACTGAATATATGGTTACTAAATTATTATCATATCCTTACTAGTCCAATAACGATTCACTCGTTATCTCCAACAGGCATAGATATCTCTTGATCTCAGGTTTCTACTGGTACGTTCGTGATGCTGAAGACGTCTGTTTTCGACCAGATTGTCTGCATATTCAATAGTATCATTCTGGACAAGTCTAAATACAACTACAAGCAATAGCTTATACCCGCAGACACTATATGTACCTGATTTGCCCAAAAAGTTGATTAAAAGCCATAACTCATACCGCATAGCACATCACCAGCTGAAATAAGAGAAAAACCAAACCTAACCCCCAAAAAGATCCGAAAATCAAACCCAAATCAAACCAAAGTCTCCTGATGATTCACAATCCGCCACTCCCCATCAGACCCCTGACTCCACGTCGTCGACCCTGTCGCCCGAAACTCCTGATTACTCCGGGTCGCATTGATGCGGTATGTGATAGTGCCTGCCATCAGGTCGATAACATGCACGCGCACCTCGTTGAGTTCGTAGCGGTCGAAGTGATGGAATGGCGGCGCCAGTGTCTTGGCCAGTGACGAGCTCCCCTCGCTGTGCACGATGATAGACTTGTTTGGGAACATGAAGGTCGCTTGGTCGTTGCACATCTTTTCGATCTCCGGCGCGGGATCGGCGGATGTGAGCGCTGTCCAGAGACGACGCTCGCAGGCGATGAGGTCCTCGCGGATGCGTTCGTGAATGGAGCCTGGCATTGTTTGTTCTTTTCTTTCTTTTCTCTTTTTCTTGAGAGGTGCGGGGTGTTGGATGAGAGGGTGGGGTTGTTTCTAATCGAGTAGATGCTAGTAGAGTAGAAAGTGGTCAGTGTTTGTCCTCGTTAGATTCGATGCAGAGTTTTATACACACCCAAAACTCGAAAACCTGCGTTGTCGTTCCCTTTCTGCCAGAATACTAATCCAAAGTTAGGCAAATCGTAAACACGGGCACCACCAAACTTATACAGGACCAGCAGGGAGACACTGACAATGACGTCACCCAGCCATGACGTGGGCGATCGGCAACTTTAATATAATTTAATTAACACAACCATGTCTCTCGCCTGTACCCCCATCAATAGAATTGTCAGCAGCGCATGTCAGCCGGTCCGTGTCATTGGTTCTGTTTTACAGACGGGTTGCACGCACCGTGTTGAAGATCCGATCTTGCGATATCAGCGTGATTCTATCCTTGCTCGAATCACATTCCCTGCTTGATTTAGGTAGGTGCATGAGGATCGAGATGTGGTGCATTAGTTGGCTGGTCCGATACGCGCCGTCAGACGATTACCATGTGCGTGTTGCCCCGCTTGGAGAGATCTGACCCTGTCCACGGAATGGCGTTGCCTACTGCTGCGGCTTGTATACATGGCGGGGTACGGAAGACCGCGTAGGTGCATTGTGTGGAACTGGACGACGAGGATGTGTTGGTAGGGTCAGACCATCATGATGGGCATCAGTAAGCTCTTACGGTAAAAGAACATGTAACCAGCCAAGTACTAGGTTTCGGAGCCTGACTACTACAAAGTAGGGTGAATCTTGATCTGAGCATTCTTCTTCTACGTGTCAATCCTCTTATCCTTCTAATGCTTATAGGTGTTATCCAAATTCTTATCAATTCCAACATTCCTCCACAAATTTTACAAGAAAGTGTCTGACAATCGCCTAGATATCGAGACAATCACTGGATTAACCGCCTATTATATACAATTCAAATATCCCACAAGTACCATAAGCAACGATGATCAGACCACATGCACTCAACGAATCACCTTATCAAAAACACCAATAGGAAACCCATCCGCCATAGCCTGATACCCCACTCCATTCAGATGCAAATAATCACCCGAGTCGAATTTCCCCAACAACCTCTCCGGTGCCTTCGGATCCCGCACGATCTCATCAAAGTCCACCACAGCATCAAACGCCCCACTCTCGCGGATCCACGCATTGATCCGCTGTCGCGTGCGCTCCCTCTCAGGATCCGAATAAGGCTGAGTGTCCGCGTCCTCCGCGGGCGCGGAAAACGGCGTGATCGTCGCCCCGATGACGGGGATGCCGGCCGCGTGGAGCCGCGTCGTGATCTGT